AAAAAAAAAAAAAAAAAAAGAAAATCTATTTTTTTAAATATATTTCTCCTTCAAAATCAAAATTGCCTTCCCTAGTATGTTTCATTAAACAGTTCTGTCCCTGTTGTGGACCCTATTAACTCTATTCTTTGTATTTCTAAGATGGATATTTTTAACATTACAAAGCACTAAATAAAAACATTGCTGACAGAATTAAAGTGAGTTTTCAGCAGTTAGAAAGTATTATTTTTGCTAGCACACAGCAGCACTACCAGAGATACTTTAAACAATACTTTAGATTAAAGCTTTCATTAAAACCATGAGTTGCATACAAGCAATCATATAAATTGTATAACCCCTCTTAATACCTGAGAGACTTTTCCAGAGACCTAATTGACAGTTTGGAAATTAAGCACCATTTGTGCTTTTGCAGGTCACTTGAAAGGTTCTCCCGTAGCCTGCTTGGTCACAGAAAAAGAATCCATGTTTTGCTAACGCACTAGGAGACACGCTCTTTCCAGTTACAGAGTTTCTGCTAAACTAAGGTCCATAATGCACAGATATTTAAGTGGTCATATAAGTTTTATAATCAAGTTAACTGCAATAATCAGTGAGTTTTAATTTATGATGTTCCTGCAGAGCTGTTTGCTAAACACAGTGTGTATTGCAGTACACACAAGTACATGACATTGTAGTACAGGAAATTTTCGAATTAAACTGAAATCAGCTATCATAGTAAAAGAGGGCAAGAACAGGCTTAAGGCCCTTCACCTCTGACAGGCTTACCACTCTTCTATCTGTCCTACAAGGGAGCTTTAAATCTACATAGCTACTGATTACAGCTACAAGTGCAAACACACTCATTAAAAAACAACTGTATGAAACCAGAGCTACGTAACAGTTAAAAACCAAGCTTCTGCTCTCCAATGTGTGTATTAACAAAAGTGCATATTTTACTCTTAGCTTTAAGTGTCTTATTCCAGGCCAGTGAACAGCTTTATGCTACAACGAGCTGCTTTTAATCTTTAAAATTACTAGGATCATTAATGTTAAGAAAAAAAGCCCACCAAAAAAAAACCACCAACCAACTTACTGAGTACATTGATATCCACGAACTTCAGGCTTTGGCTGGTGTTTCTTTATGTGTTTACTGAGTCCAGATGCCCTGTGGAAAGATTTTCCACAGATGGAGCAAAGATACTTGGATTCTCCTGACAAAAACAAAACAAAACACGTTACGAAGCCAGGCCTCCATATCTCTGGAGTGCTTTGTGAGAGTGTTATTTTCTTCTCATATAATTTATCTTAAGTAATCAGAGCAGTGCTACAAAGAGAAGTTGGTTTAATTACACACAGATGGAATTTTTAAGTGTACTTCGTATGTGCCAATGTAGTAATACACAGAGGGGGGAGTAGCAACTCTACATTACTTTATTGCATGTTTTTAAACATAGGTACAATATTGCAGCTACTAATTAGTCACGAAATGTGAACAGCCTAAAAAATTGCCCTCTTGTGTGAAAAAAACCCAATTGCCTGTGTTCATATAATATGCAACTTCTCCAGCAACGCAGCATTGCTTGCAGATGACTTACATCTTGAATTTGTGGACCACCACCTTAAAATAAAAGTTTTCCACTCCAGTTCATCAATTTAGGAGTGCTGAGTACTAATATAAACTCCTTCATTTCTGGAACAAATTGTCTTAACAGAAACAGTCTCTTACTTCTGATTCCGGCCGAGCTCGGGAAACAAGAAACACAGACAATTTCTACACATTACAATTTTAAAACTCTGCTTGTATTAAATTATTATATTGTCATCTTTCAAGGCTAAGATCTTTGAAGATACCAGGTTTTATAAAATTTCAGTATTAGTACAGTAAGTCTTGTAAAACACACATGGAAATTCTCAGAGATTTAACTTAGCATGTTTTTGTCTGAAAGGATAGGCTGGAAGTACACGTGCTCCAGTACATTCCAGCCTGTTGCCTATCTTTGTTGAATTGACATGATACAGGCATAAATACGTACATAAAAACATAGGAACAGACCAACCGTGATTCTCTGTTCTTGTATAGAACATTTGCATAATAACATTAAGCTATGGTAAAGCGAGCCCAGAAAATAAATGTAAAATGGCTACTTACCTCTATCTCAGCTGTCTGACCAGTAGAAGAAAAAGCAGAAACTACTATTTGTTTTTTTAAACAGTTCCTTTGACACTGAAGAACAATGTTAAAGTTCAGCAGCATACAATAGCCAACCAAAGTAAAAGGATCCTCTTTCTCATCGCTTACCTGTATGAATGCTCATGTGTTCCTGAAGACTTCTTTTTGTGACAAAAGACTTTTCACACAAGTCACACTTGAACTGTTTCTGTACTTCATGGAGAGCTAAGTGCATTTTTAATCCATGCTTATACGTAAAGGTCTTTCCACAAACCTAAAAAAATCCATATCCGGTGGAATAGGACAAATAAAACTCATTATGTAATAGGTGTTTAACTTCAAACACAACAAAACCTCCTGTATTTCTTGGGAACCAGGATGGCCAAGCCTGTGATTTCACACCAGTAGCAGAACTGGTCTGTTAAAAAAGAATACTCAAGGGAAGACATTCTTCTAGACACAGGAATACGAACTTTCATGATTCAACTTCATTCTAGTTTTCTCAGTCTTGGACTACAAGAATTTTCATCAGGAATGTTACAGTAGTTTTCCCCATTCTGAAGTGACCTAAATCAACCTAAATTTTAGGACAGAGTGTCAATACTAAAATATCAAGAAAACATTACTAATTTGATTACAGAGTAAAAGGACTTTCTCTTTACCTTGCATGCATGTGGTTTTACACCTGTATGTTTGAGCATATGTATTCTGAGAGAATAGAGCTTAGGTAGAGTTCTCCCACATATATCACATATAAATTCCCGTTTAGTTCTCCCTTTCACCGAAGACACGCCTGTCTCTTCTACACTAGCAGCTGCAGTGTTCACTTCGGTCTTCCGAGTGTGCCGAACAAGATGGGCTCGCAGGGAGGCACCATACTGGAATTCTTTTTTACACAACTGGGAAAGAAAATAGTACAACTTTACTTTGCATTTAATACTCCAAAATTATTTAAAAAAAAAAAGTAATCAAAAGTTTTAATATAGTAATATGATTAGCTAGGTTTATAACCTGACTCCAATAGGCATTTTATCTCAGATTAATTAATAGCTATAAATTTTGAATTTTATGGCTACTGACAGAACCACTGATCACTTCCCAATGAGGCTAACTTCCAGGCTAATCTAAACAGTTGCAAATTTACTGGTAAGGTTAAAAGTAAAGCCCAGGCCAGCACTGCCTTGAGCAGCAAGCGTACTCCCATGTCACACGGTGCTATCAGGCAATTTTACCCCACCCCATCCAGATCAGGGCTGCATCTGTGTCTGAAATCCATAAAGAAAATAAATACATGTACGAAAAAAGGCGAGAAACATAATTACTAATGCCATTACTGAATGACTTTTCATGAAGAGGGAAGTTTACAGGTCAAAAAACCCCAACTTACTGGGCATTTATAATCTTTAGATCTTTCATGTTTCAGTGTGTGCATTATAAGTGCATAGCGCCGCTGGAACACCATTCCACACTCAGTGCATTTGTGCTGAGCTTCTACTTCATTATTTTCCGTGGTATCTCTTTTGGGCTGTTTCATTTTTTTCCCTCTTTGTACCAGCTTCATGGCAACCTAAGTTGGAAAAACATAACCCTTGAATAACTTTACTATGCTGTATTTCATACTTCCTCTGCAAGTTAGTACTAAAAGCTGTTTCTGTGTGTTACTATAATACCACCTAATTTTGCTCAGTTTACTTAGCTGCTACAAAGTTAACCCCTTTCAGTTCACTGCAAAACTACAGATCTCATGGTGGGTGAAAAACTGGTCTTGTTTTAAAACCATAAACTGATTATAATTATAGGCAGACAATGACTTACCAGTTCAGAGACAACTAACTACTCAGCCCTAACAAACTGCCTAAGTGAGAGCTAAGGGATAGTTACAGAGGAACTACAAAGTACTGCCAGTCACAATTCCTACCAAATGTTTCCAACCCTTTCCTAAACTCCAACTTCCCTCTTCAGGATTTACATTTGCTTTACTACAAAAGTTATCAGATTAAAAAAAGAAGCGGCCTTATTCATTTTTACCAGCCAGGAAAAACTGAGTTACTACAAACCTGTAAAAAAATTTACGGTATTTAAGCAAAGTTCTTTGTGGTTAAGAGCATTCCAACTTTATTAGTGGGTTTTTTTTTTTTTAGGCACTAGTGGTTTTTTGTTAGGCAGTATTGGCAGTGCTACCTGGAGCTGATAATCTTGTTTTCCTTTGTAGAAACTTGCGGTCAAATTCTTTAACAGCCAAATTTTAAGTGGTCAGGCTGAAATTTCCTGTGTCAGTTATCTCCCCTTCAGGTTTCTGAGAATAAGGCAAGGGAAAAAAAGTACAAGCACCCCCATTTCTTCTTCCTGTTCTCTCGACAAATGAGGTATCTAACAGTTTTTGAAAATACGCTAGCCCTTCCATGTCTCTCAAAAACAAACTGAAACTCAACACAGGGACAACATTTTGATTTTTTTTTAATTTTGCTGTTGCTCTGAAAACTTACGCAAACTTGGCTAAATTGTGAAGTCACAGAAATAATTTTGTTCAGTAGATGATTAGTAAAGGCTTGGAAAATAATCCATTCATACAAAGCCTGCTTCATCCCCAACACCTCCATGCCAACTGCAATTACTGTAATTCACAAGTCAGCAGCACTTTTCCTGCAACCTCCTCTCTTTTCTGTTATTTTTCCGGCATCAAAACTGGGAACTCTGGAAGGCGTGTCTCCTTCCCAATGCTTATACGACATCCAGTGCCATGGAGGGGAGTTGAGGGATGCATAAGACAAAATTGCTAAAAGCTATGAAATGAGTTAGGAAAGCAGAAACTTATTCCTGAGTCCAATCCTGAGCAATTGTCTAAACCAATTTCTCTTTTTCATAGGTGGCCGCTGTCTGTAGACCCCATCTGTCAAGGGGCCAGATTTAAAACCAGCAAAATAAGTTAACAGCTGTTCCTGAAGGTAGATATTCCCCCTCCCAAAACAGAAAAAACCTTGTCATTCTCCAACCATCATAAATAGGTTGCTCAAATATTTTGATTGTGCTAGGTTTAACATCTGGGCTTTAAGTTGTCCATCTGTAAGAAGAGACCAATACTACAATTTCTATCTACGAGGGTGTTGTAATGGTAACATATTATCCCCTTGCGTGTGGGACTGGTGGCTCTAGTATGTAAATGGCTCACAGAACACCTCTGGAAATGAACAGTTCTTCGTAAGATTTAGCCAACGTGCAAAGTGTACTCTGTCACAAAACCAAATGTATTAATGCTAAGCGAGGTGAATGTCAGCTATCCATAGGCACTACAAGAGGAAAGGCTCCTGGAAGGGGAAACAGTAAGAAGATCCTTCCATTAAAAAAAAAAAAAAAAAAAATTGAAACAACTAGTTCAATCACTAAACATTTAGTATGTCTGAGTGTTAAGAGTTTTTAATACCAGTGCACGTTGAACCTTTTTTTTTCCTGAACTGACTCCAATTTGAAGGTAGCAGGACTGCACTATTGTGACTTATGACTATGTCTTAAGATCTACATAGGATGTCAAATTTTTCATCCCCAATGCTCTATTTTCAAGTCTTAACAAATGTAGGGTCTCACTTCTCTAATAGAGAAATACATTTGTCTATGACTGACATACACACGCTAGTGAAGAATTAAATTCCCAGATCATTAAGAATTTTAGGGAGAAGATACACCTTCTGTCCAACCATAAGAAGCTGTGAGAAGATACTCAAGCTGGGCTAATGTCACTGAGCATTCTAAAGATCTTCAATATGGAAGGAATTTTGATGCCAATGTTTTGGTGTTTTGTTTTTTTTTTTTTCCACAACTGTCACATCTTAGAAGTTACTTTGGTTTGCAGTAATGTTAATCGCTCAAAAAAGAACGTTTGCCAGACAGTGCTTGGAACCGGGAAATAGTCTTTTCAGATTGGTCTCGAAACACTGGACGATTACTGACAACAGGCCTAAAGACAGATAGAATACCTGCTGTATTGCAGATTTAGGATTTGTCTTTCTATTTTGCAGTTTTTTTTCAATTCCTTTATGCAATCTGATGTATCCCCCTTCACTAACGGAACGCTGGCGAAGCTTGCTTTTGTAAGTATCATCTTGGCTGGAAGCTAGGCTTTCCGGTGGTGAAACTGAAATGCTCTGTTCTTTACTTTGCCTTCCACGTTTTTGCTTGAGTGTTTCTGAGGAGTCTTCAGAAGCAGTGTCCACATTTGCTTTACCACTTTCGTTTTGATTTGTCTCAATTTCTGCTTGACTTTGGGTGTCCATGGCTTCCACAGCTGACGCCTCAGCCTCTACGACAGACATAGTGCTATTTGAAATGCTCTCCAGCAGCTCCATCTTGACATAATTTTCAGTTGTTTCGCACTGCTCCACAGACTTTGAAAGATCATCTGGAGTGGCCTCCACAGGCTCTGGGGGCAGGAGGTCAGGCTGGGGTGCTGCCGCCTCCTCTGTCCCAGCAGAGGAAGGAGCTCCATTCACAGCTACTGGCACTTCACTGGCTGCGAGCTCAGGTCGCTCAGCGCCGTCCACGGGCTGCGTCTCAACTTCAGTCTGCTCTGCTAAATTTTGCGTTGACTCTACTGTTTGAATATCTCCCTTTTGGTACACCGTAATTTGTTTCTCTTCCATCTGTTTGTGCACATTTTCACAGATTTCAAGGACCTCTGACATGAAGAGATGCCGGGCAAGCATGGCCACTTCTGCCATACTACAGAAGTCAAAAGTTAATTCTGAAGTATAAGCAAATTCCAATAGAGGCAGGAAACTGGACTTGCAGAACCCTACCAGGAATAAAACAAGAGATTAGAGCAAACACTGATGACGCCGAATTACAGCAAAATATCCCACGATAGATACAACAGTTCAGCTTTGATATGGTTAAGTCTGAAGTTTAGAGCGAAACACACTTGCAAGTAACATTAAAGCCCCTCCACTGGCACTCAATTCATTGTCATTTACGCAAAAGCGTCCTCCTTGTGTATTTTCTATGTGGAAGTAAGCTCAGACAACTTTTCCAATAAGTAAGTAGAACTGAGGTAGTTTCACAATAAAATTCTCTAGAAGAATGTTTCAGGATGCTGGGAGAGCCACAACATTTTTGAAGAAAATCAACCCTAATTTAACCAAAGTCTTTCTGGACCTGCTACATTCAGAAAGTAGTCAGGACTTAAGTAACAACTGATGTGGCAGAAAAATAAGGCAAGAAAGTGGCTAATGAAAAAAATAAAGGTATGGATATATAGATAGAAATGCTTAAGAATAAGCATTTTGTATAATTTTCCACAGTTCTGTAAATCATAAATCAAATATTTAATTTGGGGGACCTTCTGGACCATCATACCAGAAATCTATCGTTCACGCATGTCTATTGTTCATGCGGAGACAGACACAGTTAAGAAACTAATGAGAAAGCAACGCAGTAGGCATATGTTCTGTACAGTATTCTTCATCACTACAAGGCTATTTTTAGAACATTTATTTTAGGATCGTCTCCTATCTTTAAGGTACCAGAAGGTTTGAGAAATAAGCAGAAACATGTATAATAGCATTTCACGGCCATAAGAAAAAAATTAGTATTTGTTCAGCTAAACAGCTCTCTGATAAGCTAGTCAACATCCCCTCTTGATGTATTCAAGCATTTGATTATGTTTCCTTTGTTAATGTTTGTGACTAATACAAGGAGAAAACACACCTAAGCAAGGTAAAAATCAATCCAAAGCTTCTCAGAAATTTTAAGATGAAATCCCACAGTCCAATCAATATGGAAGATCAGATTATGCAAAACTAGAGTGATCACTTTAGCATTAAAATCCACACAAAATACTTTTAGATTAGAAGAGAGAAAAAAGCAAGATAAAATATTTGGTTGTCTTGAACACTGAAAAAAGACTGAATCAAATACTGTACACCTTACTTAGGATATTATGATTTCTAGCTTTGAAACCCACAACAATTCACCTGACAGATCCACTACAGCTTCATGACTAGAGACAGCTCCCTTTTCAATGAAGAGCTCTCGGAAGTACTCGCTGTTGGCTGCCAAGACAGATTTGTGGGCTTTGTACTCCTCTCCTTCAATCAGCAGAGTCACATCACAGAACTGATTGGAAAGCCTCTGCTGATTCAGTTGGTTTAAGACTGACAGACAATGTTTGGAAGATGACTGCTTCACAAGGCCCTTACTGTCAACCTGTCATAAACAACATTATAAGAACTTCATTACATTTAGACTGTGCCTTTTTAAGCATTCACACTGAAACACAGAAAAGGATTATTTTCTGCAACCGTACAATCAGTTCAAGCCTGTATAATATACAGCTTAACTTTACTATTGTTTTCTTTCTTTAAACGCGTCAAGTTTCACCCTCCCTCCAAACGCAGTTAAAACAGACAACTGGAAAAATGGGAAGACACGGATATTCAAATAGTTCTTTGGCCGTATTTTTCAATGCTACAGTCTGAAACGGTTTCTAGATTCAAAAGTCTTTACATGCATATGAGCCCCCAGTTATCAACAAGAATTTTATATATAAATACAGCATCATTTGTTAAGGAACAGATATAGATTCCATGAGAATCTTGTATGTGATGCTTTACTACTTATACTTTTGCGATTCATTTTCCCTTGGGTCCTATATGCATAAATAGGAGTCGGGGTGATTTTATTTTCCAAAGATGACGTACTACAATTAATTTCATGTCATATATACCAGCAACTCGTTTCCACATATTGAATATCTTTGGCAAAACTTATGGCATCTTATTATTACAGGATTATCACAACAATGGAAAATAAGTATGTGACTAAGAACGCATTAACAAACATCTTAAATAAATTCAGATGTAAACAATGATACTTACAAATACAAGCTCATGCTTTGCTATTGGCTTCTTCTTCACAGGCTTTGGGGATGCAGCTGGGATTGATGCTGTATTACTCAATTCATCATCTGTTTCATTACTGTCTTCATGAGATTTTGCGTCCAGTCCTAGTTCCTCCAGCATTTCAGAAGGATCTGACAGAGATCTAGAGCGATCTAGCTTTTCCTGGCACTTGCTGCATTCTTTAATGTAATCTTTAACCTGCTTAAGAATACCTAAGAAAAATTAATGGAGCTTAATTAGCTTCTAATCTTCATTCAATTTATCTTAAACACGTAATTAAATATGTAGGTGATTCGCAAAACAACATTACACACTTACTGAGAAAAATGAAGTGTCACCTACACTTTCCTTCTCTGACTTCTTTTTACTAGTTCTGCTTCTCTCACACCATTGTATGATATTGTACGTCACTACTGTAATCCACCATTAATTTGAGACAGAACACTTAGAACATCACCATATCAAGCAGACCCTCCTAGAAAGATTTTTAAAGCTAGAAAAAATATTTGTATTTATACATTCATCCTAAGAATCCCAAAACAATGAAAGCTGTAACCTAATCCTGCTTGTCCTTACTGAAGGAAAGAAGAATTGGAAGGCTCACCTAAGGGCTTTTGCAAAATTGGGACCAACTGTGTTATATGCAATGACACTGATATGTATTATTAACACCGATTTAAATCAATTGCTTATGATTTTGGGATTTAAAGGAATTAATTTCCCACCAGTACTTTAACCAGCGTAACTAAATAATTTTAGATACTCAATAGTTCCTAAGCTCAGGGTCCTCTTCTAGGTACCATGGCATTTTCAGTGTATGGCTTTCAACGCAAATTCATTTTCTTCACTAGGACAATATAAAAGCATACATAACAGCTGCCATGTCTCTATAGTTCAAAATCTAACACAGCTTAAAAACTTGGCTGACATAGAGTTAGACTTGCACTGCTTACACCTTTTCAGAGCATGAGATGCACTATCATTACATACTATCTCTGTAAGGATCAGGAAAACACAGACTTCAGCCAACCCAAGACACTCCAACCCATTCTTGTCCATTTCAAACATCTTTACATCTCCTTGATTTCATCTGAAACCAGGGCTAGTTCTCAGGACAGAAGGTCTCTGGTCTTCAATTCACATATCTAACACCCTTCCTGGCCACTGGGCCACACTCCAGCCCACTGCTTCCCAGTTACAGAGCAGACAGAGACAACATACTGGCACCCATCTCAGGATGATGACTGGGTCAAAGCTGCTGTCCACTAGCAGCAGAAAAGTATTATAATGGCAGGGGTAACCAATGTTTTAAAGGAGACACAGGTACGAAACATAATGGGCATGAATTTTAGTATTCTCAGTGCAAGAGAAATAAGAGAATATAAGTTGTGCAAATAAAGGTAACCAATAAGATCAAAAGATGCAGAATACAGAATGCCCTCTTCTGACGAACAGTAGATATACTGAGGTCCATTAAGGAAGTTTCCAGCATAGGATGACAGTAGATGCTAGAACAGTCAATATTGGGCAGATGATGAGAACCCAGATAAAGGCAAGGAGACCACCATCCAGAACGGAGGTATCAACTTTGAGATGCCAAATCCTTCTTCACATCAAAGATCTTCAAGTCAATGAGATCTGGACTGGAAGGATGGGCTGCAGCTAGAGCAAAAAGCCTCCAAATTAAGATAGGGAAAACTAAAGCTGAAATGGCAAACTTGTTGGCTGATGGATGAAAAAAACAGAATAAGAGAAGTGGTACAAACAGAAAATGGGCCCTGGGCAACTGAAAAGCAGGATATTTATTTAATGTATACATCAGACTAAAAGCAGAACACCAAACCCAAAGGGAATGCAGATACCAAGTCATTGGCTCAGCCAAAAGAAGGCCCTGATTGGGAATTATCGATGTTCATAGTACTGCTTCTAACAGCTATGACATTGCCCAGGACCCAACTGAGAATTAGTTTGGTCTTTTCGGCTTCTCATTGGAAGAAAGAGACAAATATAACAATGAGTGCAAGGACTACGAACTGTCACTATTTAAACATGAACACCATCCACATGCTAGTTGGACAAGGTATTACGAGGTTAAAAGCTGAACTAGGTCACACGGAATGGATTATCGCCCTATACAAAGCGTACAAGTTGAGAAATGGCTACCTTAAGCAGGCTGTATGCAACACTTGCATGGGGACAGTCATGCTCTGTGTTTCCGTATACTCGAAGTACCACTACCGGTGAGAAGCCACAGGACAATTTGCTGACCAAGGCG